GGTTCTCTCTTAGAGTTTCACTCCACAAAGCTATTTTGGCTAAAGCTAGCCTTGAGCCAAAATGTAACCATTTAACTTGTGCTGAATGATTAGCCTACGCCAAGCCTGCCCTGAGCACTATAGGCACCTACATTCAGTCGCCAGTTCTCAGATTCCAGCTCCACAGATTGCCCCGCGTACTAAAGTTATACTAGAAGCTCGCCAGTTCTCCGCTTCCAGCTCCACAGCTACTCCGCGTACTAAAGTTGTACTACACAGTCGCCAGTTCTCAGCTTCCAGCTCCACAGATTGCTCCGCGTACTACAGTTGTACTACAAAGTCGCCAGTTATCAGCTTCCAGCTCCCCAGCTACTCCGCGTACTACAGTTGTACTACTAGGTCGCCAGTGCTCATCTTCCAGCTCCCTAGACACTCCGCGTACTCAAGTTGTACTACCCACTCGCCAGTTCTCATCTTCCCACTCCCCAGTTACTCCGCGTACAAAAGTTGCACTACCACGTCGCCAGTTCTCAGCTTCCAGCTCCCCAGCTACTCCGCGTACTGAAGTTGTGCCACGCAGTCGCCAGTTCTCAACTTCCAGCTCCACAGCTTGCTCCGCTGCTCAACCAATCGCACTCTGGCCTGCATTTCGCGCACTCGACACGCACGATCTCCGCAGAGGGCCGCGTGCTCATTTCACAAGTCGCGCTCTCGCCTGCATTTCGCGCACTCGGTACGCACGATCTCCGCACAGGACCGCGCGGGCATCTCACAAATCGCGCTCTCGCCTGCATTTCGCGCACTCGACACGCACGATCTCCGCAGAGGGTTGCGCGGTAATTTAACAAATCGCGCTCTCGCCTGCATTTCGCGCACTCGACACGCACGATCTCCGCAGAGGGTTGCGCGCGCAGCCGCCAAATCGCACTCTCGCCTGCATTTCGCACCCTCGACACGCACGATCTCCGCAGAGGGTTGCGCGCGGACCGGACAAATCGCACTCTCGCCTGCACTTCGCGCTCTCGACACGCACGATCTCCGCAGAGGGTTGCGCGCGCAGCCGGCAAATCGCACTCTCGCCTGCATTTTGCGCACTCGACACGCACGATCTCCGCAGAGGGTTGCACTTTCGGTTGACGCTGTTCGTCCCACCCTCCGCCTTTAAGAGAGAATTTATAAAGTGGGAAAATGTTTTTTCATTAGGACATCTCCCGTGCTAGTTTTCTTTACATTCTACACTACAATACTCATCCATACTCACACTTGCATACTTACACTTGCATACTTACACTTGTTACACTTGCATACTTACACGTGCATTACACTTGCATACTTTGCACTTGGCTGCTTTCGCTCTTCCACTTACACTGGGGTACGTATATAGCGTTCATGTTGTCGTGCAAGTGTGGTGGAAGTGTCAGTGTGTAAGTGTAAGTGTCGAAGTGTCAGTGTTCAAGGGATTTTCCGGAAGAACCCTTCGCAATGCTTTCGGGAAAAACATCTGTTTTTGCAGTTCGCGGAGCAGGACTGCGTGCCTTTTGCTTGGAGCTTCTCCCCGCAGAACATTGCAGCCATGTCGAATGTGGCCTACGCAGTGCACTGGCGGGCGTGAATGGCCCGCATAAAATCAAGGTCCTCGATGCGATCCTCATCGCCGTGCAAGGAGGAAGGGCTCTGCGCAAAAGGATGCGAACCAAAACGTAATCAGCATTCATCAGTTGCGCACACAGGAAGTATTCACCTCCATCCCAAAGTCACAGTCCAGCGAGCCCAAGACAAGCTTTTCAACTGGCAGGGACGCGTGCAAATCACTGATCGGACGACTGCGCGTTCCACTCACACCGTCGCAGTCTTGGCTCACCCTCGCAGTGTCCAACGAACAAAATTTCTGGACAGCACCTACGAGTGAGTGCGGGCCGCCACGTCTAGAAAAAATACCAGACAAAAAAATACAAAAAGCCTCCGACGCAAAACTGAAGCTGCCCGCTGGGTTTCACATGGCTCTGAGGTATCCGAGGTGGTTCACTTGGACCACCTCGCAACCTGACGTTCGAATCACCCAGGTTCTTGCACGTGAACAAATTTGAGGACGTACGGGGCGATTCTTAAATTAAGCAGGAATGGCTGGCAAGGGCGCTGGCACAGGTGGAGCGGGCGGGAAGGCTGAAGTGGAACACGACGAGATGGAAGACATTGAGTGACGGGCTCGAGCGGGGTGCGGAGGAGGTGGTGGCGGGAGGCCGTGGGCAGCTCGGAGGCAGGGACGCGCCGAGCCTCAGCCAAGGAAGCGGCTGCAGATGCATGGTTTCCTGGGTGGAAGCCAGCGGTAAGGAGAGTGCAAAGAGCCTGCACTGCCACTGGCATGCCGCGGACCGCATCGACCAGGCCAGCGGGGATCGCGCTCGTGTCGTTCCCGGGCGCCCTGGAGAAGATGCGACCTGGCAGACCTGGCAGCAGCACAAAGAGCCAACTGTCGAGAGGGACACTGTTCGTCGGGATGCCTTCGAGCGAACTATGCTGGGGTTCTGGGCAAATGCAGCTTCAGCCAAGGCCAAGTTCACCCGTCGAGCTGGAGATGCGCAACGCAGGTGATTTGCTTGCAAGAGTGTGGGATGCCTGCTGTGGTAAGGCGTGGCACACGAGTGTCGTCGACAGCAAGTAGCACGTGTTCTCGATCCTCTCTGAAATAACCGGTACAGGCAAGAGTGGGTAAGAACGTGATCTGTCAGGCCTTTTAACTGGCAGTGCTCCTTCTATAGCACTTCCCATGCTTTAGAACGTTTTTCAATTCATGACTACAGCGAATGCAAACCTGTGCCACCAAAGTGCAAGGTGTCACAATGAACCCCAGATCTTTGATCATTCAAGCTCACTTGCTGGAAAATAGGCGTCCACCTCTGGCTAACCCCTTGTTCGGTTCAATTCCATTGCAAATAATGAGGAAATCGGAATGGAACAAAGAACGTGCGGAAGGGGCATCGAGCAGAGACAACATAAATTGATTGGAGAGAAACGTGCAAACCTCTATCATGTGTGTATTTATGTTGATAGATATACCAAATATACTGGATTACACACCCAATGAAGGCATCAAAATTACACATGAAAATAGAAGTTGCACTGGGAACCCTTCGCCAAGTTACATCGATTCAGAAATTGCAAGACTGGGGCAAAGATTATGGACAGTTTCGCAGCATGTATCAGCATGCTGATTCAACGGCTTAGTTTGTGAGAGCGTTCCAATACATGGTGGATACAAGCTTTTGAGTAGTGGCAGAAAGCACGGTATCAGCACGTTCCTCTTTCTACAAAAACATGAATTGAGCTCAATTGATATAGTATACATGCAGGAATTCCTGGGAAGAACAGCTTTATGTTATCTTCAATTTCTTCAGCAATGGCTGTCTTGCAGCATGTGACCCGTCAAACAAGGTTCCATCTTCCGGCGTGCGGTGCTGCAAAGTAGACTGCAAGGCGCAGCCTGCAAAATTGGAATCTATAATCTACACTATATAGTCGCTATAACCTCCCCCCAATAGTGACGGCCTGCAACCTAAGAGCGATGGCCTCCCCCCACGCGCAAAAATGCTAAAACAAAACTTGAGTTAGAGAAAGCCCAGGATTAGAGAGCTTGAAGGGGCAAGAAAGCGTCAGTGTTGCGCACTCGAGTCAGGCAAAATTCAAGCGCAAAAATGCAAACTTACAAGGACTTTGGCGAACTCCATCTGTCTAGAACAAAGAAGCTGCATGAGCTTCATGCCAAATGGATCCAAAATGGATCTCGCGTCACACTCCGGAAGACAAAAGCATGCGGCATGTAACGGCATGTACTGTAAAGGAAAGCAGGTGTGAGAGCTGGCATGCACCGCAAGCACTGCAATTGAATTGAAGAGGCGAATTGTTCTAATGCATTTTCCGCAGCTTAATAAAGTCACGTATGTGGCTCCGTTGTCACTGCAGTTTAGGTTCGAGGTAGTTTGAGTGTCTTTGTACTGCCGCATCACAGTGTCGATCTGCTGTGTCTCTTGTGTGGTGCGCAAATCGAAGTCGAAGTCTGGGTTTCTTCAGAACTACAAACATCAATGCATGCTTGTGCTTATGCCGGTGCCTGCTGCGCATGTGGACGAAATCTCCTTGTTTGACTGTCGGGGGATTCGTGTAGCTTTGCGAGCTCAACGGGGAGCGTGTCTCGTGTAGTCTGGTCGGCATCTCTCTTTTGGGGCTCCAGGAGAGTAGGATTAGGATGTGGTATGGTGCTCGATGGTCTCGATTGTGTGGCGCAAGGCGTAAGCAACGTGGTAGGCATAGAGGGCTGGGAGGAGGATGTGGACATCAGTGAGCACAGCTCAACTTGTAGAGCTTCATCCTGAGGGGAATGAACGTGTTTCGGCTTTGAAGACTCTCCAAGCCTGACGGTTCAAGAGTTGAAATGTGCGAGAAGCACCATGCCCAACATTTGCAGATGTAAGCATGTCTCAATGTCAGCCACGTCATTATTGTTGTCACTCAGGTATTGTCTGGTCCAAAAAGAGCTGAGCAATCAGTAAGAGGAGAGGTAGTAAACTCAGGAGCCACCAGTTCAGTCTTGTGCCTCAAGTTCTCCAGGTCAAAGCTGAGACCTCTCTTAGTCACTGAGGTTGGCAGGGCTGGTGGTTCGATCATCACGCTCCAGACTCAATCCTCAAACTAGTAGCAGTAATTAGTTGCCTTTGATGCAAATCGACTCCAGCTCAAGGGTTAGACGGCTTGATGTGGCAAAGGAAGCTGTGGGACCAGTTGTGGCGGCACACGACTGAGGGGCGTTGACGCATCATGCACATGAAGCCAGCGTCCCGCAGGTGCTTCTTTGTGAAACTGCTTTCATCATGGTGCAAACGGGTGCAGCAGTTGTGCGTGGATCGGCGATGTGAGTTCACACAGTATCTCACACACACATGGTGAAGGATACCATCTTATTGTCTTGACACATAGAGGATGAGACTCAAGCAATGTTCCACGCTCGCATCGAGTGGCATCTTTTACTGTGCTCAGCCATGCTCTGCAGCTCAAGCCCTAAACTTTGACAACACAGTGAGACTCGGAGCCAGGTCACCGCTCCATGCTACGGGAAAAGAAGGCCTCAAAAAAAGCTCAACATGCGATCCAGCTAAATAGATCGCGCCTACTTACTGGCTTCAGACTCAAGGCGTGTAAGCCTCACAAACTCGCCAGGTGTCTTCGAAAATCCTCACTCTAAAGCTCGACTCAAGCGAGACCACACCTATATTTTGCATCGGCTACCAGTGGTGAAGCCGCAGAAAACCATGACTGGTCTAGGCTAATAGGCACCTTACAGCACGCGCGGTTCATGCAATGGTCTTCATGCTTGCAGCTATCTGCCTGATGGTAGCCGAGTCTTTCTGCCACATTGTCCATGACCTGGCCGTGAATCTAAAAACGACTCAAGACACATGTCATTTATACTCCCTGGGTGCCCAATCTTCACAGCATGGGCCCCAATGGACTGGGGTAGATGTTCGTTGAACAAAATTGAGATGATGGGAAAACATTGCCAAAAACAGGAAACTATCGTGGAACATGTATGAAATATCATGTGAAAAAATCAGGAATCGCTTAGTGAGAGGAAGAATGCCGACTCGGGTCTGTAAATCTAACCCAGAGGGCAGCAAAGCCACGATATATAATTCATTGAACATATGAGGAAATCAAGAGAAACGTTGCAACAGATTGAAAAAAGTTCGGGCATTTACACATGTGTTGAGCGACATTGTGGGAATTCCAACTGGATGTTCGTAGGATTGAATGAATTTGAATGAATGTCTTGCCAATCTTTATGAGGATCCACTGCATCAAGTGCACTGCAAGCTTAATGAGGATTTAAGCTCCAGTAGTGCCTCTCCCAATAGCACACCTTCCCTTGCAATGGAAACCATCCCCTTAGATGGTTTGAAGATGTTTGGAGCAAACTTACTTCAAGCAAGTACTTTAGCTACAGTTCAAGAATGAGTAGTTGCCCACTGATTTGTTCGGATGCTTCACATGCCCATGAGTCTATTAAGTACAACTGTTCAGGGAAACCAATTAATCCCTTTTGATCATCGTCATCTTTTCGACTGAACCTGCAAAACATGTGCAAATCATGAAACTGAAACAGCATGAAACAGCCCAGTTCATGTTGACATGGGCCTGGCTCTCTTGGCGACCACTGCGCACTTGGCCGGCAAAGACAATCACAGGACCTTGACGAAACACGACATCATTGACATCTGTGTTTGATCTTTGGGAAGACACATTTGGCGGCACGTAGTATTCACATGAAGTGAAGCCTTCTTTGGCACCACAATCCCCAAGTCGTGACTCAATTCTGCAAGGCAAAGGCTGGGTGTTCTTCGACGGCAAATATCCTGAAGAACGACTCTCAAGGCTCGAAGCGCAAGGAAACACTGTACGACCGAACTGAACTTGGCAAATGCGCCCGGTGCCGCCTGAAGAGTTTGCATAAATTCTTGCTGGAGCTTTTCATTCCAAACCTCGCTCTGACTTGCTGTCTTCCCAAGAGACCTTTTCCATGTTTTTCCAAACATATTGAGGGACAAACATGGAAGAGTAGGTCTCCGCAAAGCACAATGTCAAAGACTTGTTGGAGCTCCTAGGATGAGAGTCACAAATTTGTAACCATGACTTGAGGGGAATTGACGGCACCTCTGGCAAAGGTCTGCCCCAGGAGTAGCCGACAACCTCTGCCTGGTCAACCTTGGAGCGCATGTGCTCACGAAACACGTGCTGTAAATCATATATGAAGGAAAACAAGAAAAAAAATATGTTGTTTCTTTTGTTATGGACGTCAGCATCCCTTGTCCATTCCCTTCCCAGTCAAGCGCAGCACCCAAGGATGGTTTGGCGACCGATTTCTGGCCAAATTATCCCTCACAGTTTGGACCTTACCAAGTGAAGGAGCCGAGTCTTTTGGATCTTATGCAATCCTATGGATGGTCCAAAAGAAGATGTTGACTGGGATGCCAACATTCTCTGGCAGATCACAAAGAACAACCTGCAACTCTCTCAGCGAGGTTCAGGAACACAAGTTGTTGCAGCAGTCGTGCCTTGTAGCCGGCCTTGGCCAACGCTACTCCAGCAAGACCTGTGCTGCGAGACGATCCAAGCAGTTTTTGAAGGACAAGCAACGTGGTTTGCCATGTTCAGACATTGAGATGGTCTTCTGACCGAAATGAAGTGTTCATGCTCATGACGCTGCAGCTATGTGGCCAGTCCCACAGGACAAATCCTCTCGCACAGAATTGTTCGAGCAAATTTATTGTTGCTGTGTGGTAGTGTCTCAGCACTTCTCCGACATTTGATCAGGGAATCCCATCTGATCCCTCTTCCCGAACATTGCCGCACCAAGCACTTGGAGCCACCAACCAGACAGCCCGGGCTCTCCAGAATGCGTTGAGGAGCTTCACGCTGTGGCAAATACGCCTGATGGAATGCACGACCAGTTATATAGAGAAATCGTTGGAATCAAAGACTTGCAGGAAGGGGCACAACAGAAAACCAAGCCTTCGGACATTTGTAAGGATGTTTGGCCAGTCCGGAAATCTGTGTTCTGTGGGACGGCATCTTTCGAAGTGTCGCCACAAAGCTGAGCCTCCAGGTGTCGTGCAAGTAGCCAGCTCCCTGCCCATGTGCGCCATCCTTAGACTGAAGGCGAGCAAGCAGCTGCAAAGAAAACGTATAATGAGAAAACAGCGAAAACAACCTGGTCGACTATTTCTCTGCCGGCCCGCCAGGTCAACGTGTTTCTTGTTTGTCGCCTGGCTGGCTGTGTGGCTGAGGATTTGGTAGTACTAGTACTAGTACTAGTACTAGTACTGTAGTAGTAGTAGTAGTAGTAGTAGTAGTAGTAGCAGCAGCAGCAGCAGCAGCAGTAGGAGCAGCAGCAGCAGCAGCAGTAGTAGGAGGAGGAGGAGTAGGAGTAGGAGTGGTGGTAGTCGTCGTCGTCGTCGCAATTATAGTTTTGGTAGTCACAGGAAAGGCAGGGGCCGGCTGGCCGGCCGGCTGGCTATATACGTCTCAGCTGAGGTTTTTGGATCGCCGGCCGACCGGCTGGCTGGCAGATTGAGAACTAGCGAGTTAAGCTCAGCATTGAGAAAAAGACAGGAAAACTCAAGACAAGTGCAGATTCGCAGATTTATCTGAGCTTTGATCCGGTATTTGTCAGGACTGCATCACCCTCTGAAAGGACAACCTCTTTCCTGGCAAGTGCTGGGAAATCCGATCCAAACGGGTAAGTGATCGTAAGTGCGCCGAGAGCGCCCGAGCAACAAGTATGACCGTGTTGGTCGCACTGGTGGCTCCGGGCCTCTAATCAGACAAAGCTTCTGACCCATAAATTATAATTTAATCATATCAAACCTGTATGTGGTGCTCGTTTTTGTTGCTGTTCTTGTTCATGTTGTTGAGCCTCTTGTTGTTGAGCCTCTTGTTGCTGTTGTTGTTGCTGTTGTTGTTGTTGCTGTTGTTGTTGTTGTCGGTGTTGTTGTTCGCCCACTGAGGTTTCTGACGATCATCTTGATCATGGGCCAAGTCCTGTGCAGACAATTGCAACACTTGAGAGAGGCTGAATCGAAGTGAAGTAAGAAACCATACAATGCCTCCGGACTGGACAGGCCTATATCATCCCGTTCCTCCTTTTTTCCTGGTCTTGAACTTCCAAGACAATCACAACTCACTTAGCTTGACTTACGCCTTACACCTTGTGGCTGCGCTGTGGGCACCTCCTGGCCCACGGCATCGCTTAGACTCTCAACTCAAGAGCAACAGGTGCAAGACCTGCACACTCTTGAAAGGCAGTGAGACACATCACCTGCTTGCCTTCCAGCTTTGCTGGAGTTCCACATGTGACGAGTTTGGAAGCTGCAACTGCCCAAAGCAAGCCCCGGTTTACAAGACTTTGGAGCCTTTTCCACCAACGGTGATAGAAGCTTGGCTCTGTGCCAGCTGTCACACGTCAGTGAAAGGGCAAGCTGTCATGTTTCCTGACAAAAGACATTGCACTAATTGCCTTGGACTGGGATATTAATTCATCGAGGTTCAATGCGTGTATCAGAATATCAAGCATTTCACAAACAAAGATCCCAGGCCAAAGAGATTTGCGATGTCAATGTGCAGCTTCAGGCCCAGCTCGCAGCTCGAAAGCGGCAAAGGTCGAGCCCTGAAAGCTGTCCTCAGGACACTCAGTTATCGCTTGCAGAGCTTAATCCAGCTTGTCATCTAATCTTGAGCTATTATTTTCACATAATCTCTTGACTTATGCTTGCTCATCTTGACTCAATCTGAGATTCGTCTTGGCTCTTGAGGCTCAAAGCCTTCTCCAAAGTGCCGTGCAGAACCTTGTGAGAGGTTCCATGGCAAGTTAGTGACGTGTTGCTCACTGAGCCCTGCAGCTCTGGCATGATCACAGGAAACTTCAGCTCAACTACAGCAATTGCAACGAAGGTTCTGGTCGTTTGCCAGACGTTGGAGATGGAGGATGGGCCTGCTTTTTTCCCCAGATGGCACAATACGCAGCACATTGAAAAAACACGAAACAGAAATGTTCTTGACATATTCATGAAAAATGTCAAAATGCATAAATATGTCAAAGCTCCAAGGCACCGGAGGTGCAAATGCGTCTGAACACGGGGATCCTGCTGCAGGAACCGTCTGAGGAGCCAAAGCCTCCTGCATGACCTGAACGCTCGTTTTCCGCTGAAAGCCCAGTGGCTGAAGCCGTGCTTCTACAGTGCAGGGTCCTTTCCACATTTGGCATACTAAGTGAAGTGAGTCTTTTGGCCATGATACTTCGTCAGGGGGGAGGCGGTGGCGGAACTGTATCCTGCACGTGTCTGCACGCAAAGCAAGTTGCAAAGTTCTGCTAAAAGTCATTGGAACCAAAGATTCATGTCTCTCCTGGCGGTTTAAAGGAGGCTGAGGAGTGTCGTCGCCATCGAGAGCCGGTGGCCTGCAGCTTTGAGAGCGCACCAATTGGTCCTGACAGGCCCCGGTGGCTTCATAAATACATGCACAAAGAATGCACAAAGACAGCCGCTACTCTCAGCGGCCTGAGATCCGGCCTCAGCTGCCCACAAACTTCTAATTAGTTCATGACAGGAAAAACTGAGATTGTAAAAACGGCATGGTAAGGCGCCCGTCAAGGGGGCCCTATTGAATCGGCCCAAGTCCACCTTCATGTTTTCATCACTTTTCATCTCAATGTTGCACTCACTAAAATAACGAACGCTTGGATCCTCACTCCAGAAGGAATACGGACAACTGCTGGTGGCGCAGATGCTGCGGTTCCACCTCAGTTGCGCAGTGTATTGCAATGTATGACATACTAATAATACTAATTACTAATTAATTGCAATACCACAGCTGGTGCCACAGCTTGCCATTGCAGTGAAATTTGCAATTCATTCTGGATTCTAATGCCTTGTTGGCCTTGTGCGCGCGTGTATACTACCTTCAGGCAAGTCACCCGAACGTCGCTTTCTACGCTCCTTCGCATCGGCTGCATGGTGGGACAGCATGATCTCTCTATTGCTATGCAAATGTTCAAGAGAAATATTGATGGAATTGCTCGTGTGATTCCATGGGTAGGCAACAAAGGAGAAAGATCCAAAACAAAAACAAGCTCTATCAAGCTCTCATTAGAAGCGAGATGGTCTCCATGTGTGGAGGGTGTGATTCTTCTCTCCTCAGTACGTCTCATCAGCTGCAGCCGCTGCGATTCTTCCTCGTCGAGCTGCAAAGATCGAAGCCGCTCGGCCACAGAACTCATCTTTTCCATGGTCGAGCGATACCTGAAAGTGCAACACCAAAGCAGCTCACCACCTACACAGAACAAAAAAGCATTAGCAACAAAAACATCAACAAGGAATGTCATGCCTGAAGTCGGCGGCATTGCTTTTGCAATGATTATCTGCACTCTTCTTCAAACACTAAAGTGGCAAAACACTGCCAGTGGCTTTCAAGAACAAACCCCGCAGGCACCTTTTGGAATCGGTATGTCTTGATGAATGCGCTAAAATGATTGAAAAAGATGTGCAGGCCAATGTTGGACAACATATTCTTCTGAGAATTCTTGCTGCAAATCATGGTGCTCAGCTCTGGCGGTCTTTTGCGCCTTATTTGCAATGTGATCCGGATGAGGGGCTTACTAACGTAAATAGTCATGTAAGAGATCTCTTTCTTAGAAACAAGGACGCTATTAGGTGAAGGCCAATGCAAGTAGGTTGGAGGCCATCGCTACTAGGAACAAGAAGCTACTAGTA